ATAAGTGTGATTGCTTCCTGTGTTCCTCTTGCAAGAGCTATTAATTCAGCTTCATACATCAAATTTGCTACTAGTGTTTGTCTTTTACTTGACTATGAAACTAATGAATCACTCAAGTAAAATGCATATCCTGATATTGCACAATGCCCTTCTTGCATCATACTGTCTGTGTCTGTATAGCTGTTCAATATTGATTGATTTGTACTGCCAAGTTGGAGCCAGACATTGTTTGTAGTTTTTAAGTACATGTAACAATGTTTAAGTGCTAGATAATGCTCTATACTAGGGTCATTGAGGTATTTTGCTAACTGATTTGTTGCAAATGCTATATCTGGCCACATACAGTCTGCAATGTATCTAAGTGTGCCAACCATGTTCATGTATAGTATATTAGACATTTGTTTTCTATTGTTATCAGTTTGCAATACTGTTTTTAATTGTGTACCAGGCTGTATAGGTGTTTGTACACTTTGTTTGTTTGTAAGTTTGTAACATTCTATTATACTATTAATATAATGTGTCTGACACATCCTGATGAATCTATGCTCTCTGTTGTATTGAATCTCTATACTAAGTAGCCAGTGTAATTTGTTGCTGTCTGTATATTGTAAATGACATACAATAGATTGTTTTATTATTGCAATAGTATTATTATTCATTGCCATGATAGTAATATTGTCAACATGTACAAATAATATGGCTACAGTTATTTCTTTCTTCTTTGTAAAGAATACAGTATTATTATGTTTGGATTTCATTAATCTGCATTTAAGTAGTATATTAGATAGTGTTTTATACCATCTTCTACCAGCTTGTTTTAATCTGTATAGCACTTTTCGTAATTGTAATATTTGTCCATTCTGTAGTCTGTCTATTAAGTTACCTGGAGGAGGTTTAACATATATTTCCTTGTCTTCCATCAATTGTCCATACAGATATGCCAATTTTATATCTATCTGATGTATTTCATAATTATTAGATACTGCCCATGCTAATATTAATCACACTGTAGATAGTCTAGCAGTAGGAGCAAATAAATTGTCTGTATGATAGTCAAGACTGTCAATCTGATAGTTTCCTTGAACTACTAATCGTGCTTTATATTTTTCTATACTATTATCAGCATATTGCTTTATTTTATAGACAAATTGTGTTCCAATGATGTTAATATTATTGTATGGATTCGTGATTTCCCATGTATTATGATTTTCTAATTGTTTTATTTCATCTTTCATAGCTGTAATCTATGAATCACAATCTGAACATTGGATTGCTTTATAAAATGAAGTTGGATCCAATTGTATTTCACTTATTTTAGTATTAAATTCTATTAAATGAATGGCAATATTATCTTCATCCTTTTTGCTAAGTGCATACATGCATTTTGTTACACATTTATTCTCCATGCATTGTTCAAGCTTGATAGCACATTCTGTTGGTTTCCATTTCTGTTCCAATCAACATAATTTAGGTTCTACTTCTTTTTCAGTTAATTTAACTTTGTTGTCTGTTAAGTCTGTTGGTTCTGCCACTTTTCCTTTTTTGTTAGGATCAGTATTGTCTGTATCATTGTTGTCTGTTCTTGTTATTCTATTGTCTGTTTCATTATTTTTAATTATTAAACACTCATTCATATCATTGTTTGTATCATCTATTTTTTCCCTTTCAATTTGAGGAGGTTTACCTTCAAGAAATTGAATATTTTGTTCAATAGTAATTTTATTATTGTGCCAAGTTTTATGGCCTTTACTTTCATTGTCTAATCCTATCCAACAAGTTATGATACCTTGCTGTTGTATTTTTGTAGGATTTTTGTTGCAAATGATAATATATTAACCAAATTCGTATATATTATCAATTGTTCTGTGTGTTCTGTAACGTTTGTAATGTAGGGTATTATAATTTAAAGTAGCACACAGTGTTCTATTATGAATATAGGTAATATGAATTACTGCTTCAGCCTATAATGTAAACAGTAATTCAGTAGATGTTAGATATGCTCTTACACCTCTAAATATTGTTTTATGCATTCGTTCTGCTATTCTGTTCTGTTGTAGAGTATGATGTACTGTTAATCTTTGTTTTGTTCCTTGTGAATCTAAATATTGTTGGAAATCTTCACTAAGGAATACAGTATCATTATCACTTTGTAAAAGCTTTATTTTAACTCTGTGCTGTGTAAATATTTTAGTTGTCCATTGTACATATTACATATATGCATTGGATTTTGTTTGTAATTTGAGCATTATGCACTAACAAGTAGAATCGTCTACAATTGTTAATAAGTAGTGTATGTTCTTATATGTGTGTGGTTCAATAGGACCAACAATATTGATATGAATAAGATCTCCAAATTGATTTGTAAGAGGAGATTGACATAGTTTTGGTATTAGTGTACGTTTGATATTTGCTTTTATACATTCAATACATTCTTTTTCTTTGTAGTTCATTATTTTAGTTGATAGTACACTTGGTTGTGTCTTTAATAATTGTTTAATATAATTGTAACTTATGTGACTAAGGCATTTATGTATATCATAAATAGATAGTTTGTTCATTGTTTTTAATAAATGATTATTGTACAAAATATACAAGTTATTTCTCAATTGTATATGTCTGATGTATTTGTTACATGGTGATGTTATAGTACAATTATTGTTTGTAAACATAAAAGAATAACCTTCCCTACATAGTAGTGCTTGACTTATGAGGGAAAAGGT